CATTTTCACTCATTTATCGAGCTTTAAAAAAAGGTGTTTCATACTTTGGCCAAGTGAAAACATTCGAAATAAATTTAAGTTTTTAAATTAGTTAGTCTCCACTATAAAGTGACACTAATCGTTAGGGGTTTGACTAATCTAACATTGTTGAGCTTACTTCCATTTCGAGTGAAAGTGTTATAGACCGTGCAATCACTCCCTTCTTTATGCGTAATTATTTAACCCTGTTTTTGAAATTTGGCCCTATCCATTATGCTACTTTGCAGTATTTACCTCCCACTATATCATATGTCGTTATCATTTCATCGTAGGGTTTATGATTCTTCGTTCTAGTTTAATTGCATTATAATTCGAATTTTTATCAGAAGATTCTTTGAAGGCCAGTGAAAAATATTTTCAGTTTTAACGAATTCCCATTAATTGGCTTACATGGGACACCTGAACGGATTTGTAAACCAAAATAACTGCAACGGTATGTCTGTACCGGTTCAATGATCATAACACGAATTAACCTCTCCTCGACTCAGGATCTTCAAGTTTTACAACAAGTTAAGAAAACTCTGTTAGACAGATTTAATTCCGAGCTTTTAGTTAACCGTAAGACTGCCACCAAACAAACTTCACCCCGTTCATTATATTTTTTCTTCGGATAATGATTTTATTTTCCCCATTCTCTGACTTATAAAATGAAACTTTTTTGTTTTTTTCATAATTTTCCTAGCATTTGATGAGACTCGGTAATTTTTTCGCAATAAGACTGTACATTTTGGTTCTATCTATTTCTTATTATGTTCTCGCTAATTTATTTTTTCATATATTCATTATCCCTAGATTCTCTTAATTCATCTGCTCCCGACGGCCACTTGCCAAGCAATTCGTTTTCTTACGCTTCTCCATCAACAGGCCAGATTGGACCTTTAACGAAAGAAGTATCACGGTACTCTCGAGACCTGCCCTGCAGTATTGGTATGTCTGGCGTTACTTCACAATTGGCAAGGCCACCTGCTGGAGCACAAGCCTCACACACTTGTTGCGAAGTCTTAAAACAGTTTGCTCCCTCATTCACTAACGTATCTGCCATCACCATGGCTAAAAAGTTAAGTACTCCACGACATACTCGCCTATTTTCGGCGACACAATGTCCGGAGAGGTTACCGCCTCACACACCTACTCATTTGTCGGAATCGCCCACTGGCTGGCCTCAAAATCGAATTCCTCTGCATGCTGATACTTCCATCAGCCATTTGACAAGCTCTGCTACACCTATGAGTGCCAGCTGTGGTGGTTGCTGGTGGGCACCGCAGAGGGCTAATAGTGCTGGCGAAATGGTTCCGCTCACTGGGCTGCAGGGTTCATCTTTGGCTGGCATTCCGACCAATGGTGCCTCAGGCGTTAAAGGGAGTGCTATCTTAGCAGTCGGTCTGGCTAGTTTGCCCCAGTCTTCCACTTTCCAGACGCCCTCGCGCTTCGCTAATACCTCGGCAAACAACAGTCTTTCTCAATCTCCAGGTGTGTCTATTACATCATCCTCAGAGGAAGTGATTTTAATTGCTACCTACTTGCCTTGGTCAGCGCTTTGGAGTTCGACTTCTGTTTGCACGACTCTATTCGCTGCGCTTATAGTAAATTCTGTCATTCAATTGTTGTTTATGTTTACTATAACTCTGCGTCTAATCTGTCATGCTTGATTCTTTAACATAAGATCAACCTCAATAAAGAACCTATTCTCTACGATTTTTTTGTTATAGACTATGATATTGATAATAGGTTTTTAACGACAAACAGTTGAGTTTCAGACATCACTATCCAATACTATCGGTATTTTGTTCTAAACGAAAGCATATACTGATGGTAATTTTTTAATTTGTTATATTTAGATAAGCTTAGACTGCCTTGTTCAACCTCAGAAAATCTTAGGTCAGATTTCATTAGCCATTAGCTTTTTCATAAATAATCTCTTTTTTATTAAAAAGCTATTCATTCTCTATGATATAGTCAGATCCCTATTCTTTAGAAGTCTTGCTGCGTTGATATGCTACATTTTCGGTCCCCAAAATATTTTGTTCCTTTGCCTATTTTTGCTTCCAAGCATTATTATTCAATTTTAATAACATATAATACCTTTAATATATTATTGTTGTTGTCCTGGTATGTTACTTCCTTTCTAGAAAAAATTTCCTGATTAGCTATTAGTGTTCGTCAGTTACAAAAGCTTTTAGTCGTTTTTTTATTTGAATCTTATTTGTAGAAAGATGCAAGCTTTTGACCTTCGCACTATATTGTCTCCGCTTATATTTTTTTATTTTCATATTCTACATTCTTATTGTTAAGTTGGAGTTAATTTGTTGTTTACACTTACATATCTCCAGCTTAGAAAAACGTTTCGAATGCATAAATTTATTTAAGCAAAAGTGATTTTTTGTTCTATGGCCCCTATTTTAATCTCACAGATTTCGCAGATTTCGAATTATAGTTTTACTGTCCTGTGATATTGATTATTCCCGTTCGCAGTCTTCTCAACCGGTTTAATTTCCGCTATATTTTGAATTTTTGATCGTAAGGTTTCTTATGATTTTGCTTGTGTTAATAGATTTGCAATTTTACTTAAATTATTTAATTTACATTCTAAATTTTCTTAGGCATACTTGGACAAATGTTGTCATCTGGTCAACAGTATCCTACATTATAACACAAAGCTGCATTTTCAGCCTTGCTGGTTGCAGTTTTGAATTATGTTATTTTCACTTTTCTGGTTTAGCATATTCATACTATAAAATTTTTTTATAGAAGGATTTTGCGTGAACATTTTTTATATGATTAGTTTTCGAGACTCAGTAATTCTTGGATAAGTGCCTAGTCAACCTAAGTTATTTAATCGAAGATATGAAAACCAAGATGGTGGGGCCTTTTGTATGGTCGCGATCTCCTTTTATTATATAGACGTTGTTTGACCTTGTTTTTGCATCTTGGTCATATCGACAGGAAGACCTGACCCGTTAAGTGACCTTATGATACTTGGGCCTAAATGGATACATTCAATCCCGCTAGGATGTCACAAAAAATGTGACTATTTTCCTATAGACTAGCATTAAGGCATCGCGGCTAATTTATTGCTATTTTGATTTTAGGCATCCATCTACCCAAACATCAGGCAGATTTTTTCAGAGGTATTTACCAGTTGAAACACTATGTGCATTAGTTAACTTTGACCACTTCAGAAGTTATTTTCAGTAAAATTCGCTTCTTATAAAACCGCAATCCTATTCTACTTTTTTACAATTTTGCTAAAGTCCCTCTCAAAATATCGTTTTAATCTAAATGCTTTCTTCGTTTGTGATCTTTTTTGTTTATGCCTCAAATCGTCTTCGTTGTTCTCAATCCTATTTGTATTCAGAATTTCAAGTACGAATATAATGGGATACTTATCATGCAATGAAAAATCGGTGTTTATTGTGCATTTGATTAACAAATGAACGTCTATCTTTTACGTGATTATTTGCTCTTGGATCACTTTCTATCCTTTCATTTTCTCCCTACGGACATCTTACTCATTGCCCATTTAGCTTAAAATAGACTATTCGTTTAATCCTCTAAGTTTTCTTGCTTGCATGAAAATTGGGGTCGTACGGTTCTGTCTATGGCTTCGTTTAAAGTAAACATGGTCCATTTGACGCACAAAAATTTTAAAACGCCTGATTCTTTTTGTCCACATATTCCATTCTGAATACACATTTACGATTTCAGAATATCATTTGTTTCTTGTTTACAGTATCAAGATTCTACCACCTTATCTAAATTATAATAATGAATAAAATCATGCCTCTATTCCATCTGATTTCAATTTCTATGCTGCGAAATATAAAATCATTACCTTTTATACTTTGAATTCTGCTCAATAGATATTTTATTTACTTATAAAAGCTTTTTATTTCATTAAACTTTCTTTCTTATCTAAATGGTGCAATGGTGCGGAGC